GGAGGTGTAGACATCTCAGAATGCTTGGTATAGGCCAGCATTAGGTCCCTTCCCCAATCACTCTTTTTCTCTTCTTTTCACGGTAGGATTTTTAATATATATGTATATACATATATATATAATAGACATATATATATATATATATTTAACTAGACTAACCTTATGGTTTTACGGCAGTGAAGTATCAGTACGCAACATAGGTTGGCTCGCATGCTGGGGCACCACGCGACCAAGAGAATGATGCTGTTTTGGAAATTAGTACAACACAGAAACTGTCTATAGATAGCACACAACTGCAACAGGCGACCACCGTTATCCGTGCGCCTCGACTCCAGCCCTAGATGACTACCAAATGGAGCCTCAGTAACCCTAAGTTTATCTGCTTGCGCATTCACACCCCCAGGCAACTACAACAATAGCTGAGCTCTTAGCATATACAACAATGAGCTGAGTGTCGTAAGGGTTGTCTTTGAATGTATCAAAGCTAGTCTGGTGACGCGTTAGCAAATACGAAGAATAGCCGGTGATTACTGGCGAGTTTAAGGGATATTCTTACAGAATTTGCCAAACGAACGGCACAGAGGCAACCATCAACGAGCGACCATTCAACGAGAGGCTATTCAGTTCGGCCGCTTTGAACAATAGCAACACCAGCAGACCCAGCGACAGCGACTTCTAGATTACCAGAGGTGCGCCACCAGAAGCAAGCAGAAACCGACAGAGTTCATTTCAACAACCGCATTTGGGTCTTGAATCTCTGTTTCAGAAAGATAGCACACATCAACAGAGAGCGTGTCCGGTGCACAAGCGAGAGCACTGACATCGATTAGCAGCCCTATCTTGCAGAGTTTCCAACTATGCACAAGGGGGATCGGGCGGACCCCATTTCAGAGGCCAGTTGCAGACCGAACTGATCGGGGAAATCTTTTCGCTGGTGTGCATCGCACAGCTGCTCTGATCTCGCCCTGTAGCCCCATCGCTTATCTATTGAGTATATGCCTTAGGGTGGCAACGGCCAATCGATCTAAATCATGGGCTGCTGAATGCAATTCACTCCACGTGTACGGACAGATATCTCCCGGATGTCTCAGCTCCTCCAATTAGACGAAGTGGGTCTATTTATTCCCGACATGCATAGGCCTATCATGAAAGCTAGGATGGGACCTCCCTCGTTGTCCACAAGGCCTGATGCATAACAGATGGTACAGCGTATGACTCAACTAAGTCAAAAAAGAGTCAAAAGGCGAAAGGTGTCACAGCTGTTCAGAAGGTTTCGTTCAGAATGTGAAGTCCCTCTTAGATTGCGACAAGCGAACTCATCATAGAAGCAGATATTCGACACACGCAGTAAATATGTGCAAGTACCTTTATTCACTTTCCATTTTTCATCCTTTTTTCACCTTTTGTTCCCTGTTGCAACCCCTTCACTCTTTTGAAATATGTACACGTTTCGTTTTTTTCCTTTATTGTTATCATTTCTGTTGTTTCTGTCTCATGGACTTCTTCGTGCTTCGGTTATATTATGCGAGCTACACTGGATAACACCCGGTAAGAGCATTCGCATGATACTTCGACCTACCCGCACTGCAATCCATCGTGCGAAATCAGCAGGCAAACGGCAGGTCAATACAGTCTGGACTTATTGATAATGTCAATACTCAGACTCATGCGTAGAAATTCCATTCCACCTAAACCAAGCTTAGGAAGGCTGCCTCTCATCAATTTGATGCTTAAAAGCTGTAGACAGATACACGACAACCAGGGGGAATGGGCTTACTTTAAGCATTAAGTCATCGCTGAGAGAAGTGTGTAATTACTGTGGTGTCGCGCGAGGGTCCACTGGTGCTTCCTTAGCACGCTTGGTCGTCGGAAGATAAACAGACGATTTGGGTTTAATCGTATGAAGGCCTCCATTAGTCCCCTTTTAGTCCTTTATTAGTCTCCTTCCTTAAGATGTTTAAGAAAAGTAGCCCATCTCTCATCTTTATCACTCTCCTGGCTTTCCAAACACGCAAAAAATGCTCCTAGAGATAGGGAGCAATCCAGCAAAGTGTACTCAATGCGAGTGGAAAGCGGCAGGAACAACACTGGATTACTCGCTTTCATTGCTATTAGGAATATTCTGTGATGTCATGTTCTGTGATGCAGAATTAGGTGACCCCCGACTACGAAGTCACTTCGGACAAGGATGACGCAGTCTTTTGTTTCCGCAACACACTCCAGTAAGCATGTCAATCGTCTTAAAGGTGTAGTGCGCGACTGGGATACCGTTGACCCAACTGAAAGCACTCGGATTTTGGTCTGTTCGCCGGGCTAGGTAGTTAGATTGCAAACCAGGTGGAATCGCTAGTGCAGTGACGACTGGTGATGAGACGTTTGCAATTCAACTACCAATCTAGACGAACAGAACAACCAAGATCACAGCCAAGCCACGAATATTCCGCAACATAGGCAACAAGCACTTGGTTGTGTTAAATAGGAAATCCCGGGTTTTGACTAGTCTCCTATTCTACGTAAACTCCATTGGAGGTAATCTATCTGGGGAATTCCCACGACTTTAGTATCTTCGGCAAACGTGAAGCAGTGGACCAAATGCAACCATGAATGAGCCCATCCCTCATCTTCACTTTTTGTAAAGCGTGACCAAAAATCATCCGAAGTCCTGTCTCTTAGGTCTGTTCAACCGGCAGTGACAGGATTTGTCTTGAAAGACAAGTTCAGCTACAAGAAAACAATGAAGGACGAAGTAAAAGGCTTCACAGAGGACGAAACAGTACAGCTCAATTGGCATATTCCTTTCGAAGAAATTCACCAGGTCGTCCAAGAAAATCGAAAGGTCTGTGGGACAGCAATATTCCTAATGGAAGCCATGCTGACAAAATGCCAAGGGGTAAGAATCAGTTAAGTTCTTTGATATATGGTCCCGCAAGATCTGCTACTTGATCTTTAAAGTATACGCCCTGAATTAGTTCACCTTTGACCCGGAGACATGAAGCTTGACTGTGCTGAGCCTCCCGCTTGTTTCGTTGCCTTCACCGCTATCTATGCATGTCAAAAAAACCCACCCGTTGATCTGTGTGGAATAGATTTTCTGATCATCCGTGAAGTGATTGAAATGTCACAGGACCACTCTATGCCTTCGATCTCAACTGGCCAACTAACTAAAAAACGCAAACGGCGGATTAACTACAGTATTTATTCATCGTGGATTGCTGTCCACCGCGATGCTTGATACTCAGGTATCCTAGCTTCAGACGGTATACACGGCAAGCGACCTAACGACCTTGAGGGGAGTCTACAAATTCTATTGGAGGACCAGGATCACAAGGAGTGGGAATCATGGCGGTCACCAATTTCTCTCTATCACGGCACTGAAATACCCCCAAGATTGTGGCAGTCCAACTTGAAAGGAAACCGGTGTTAAAATGAGTTCTGTCAAATGGTCCCAGGACGAGGTCCAGCCAAGGATCCTGAAGGAAACGTCCTCCACACTGGCAAATCATTCACACCAGGTGTTTCGTCAGTCGCTTGACGAAGGCTGTCTTCCCTCTGCTTGGAAGGGAGCGATTGTCACGCCAATATACAAAACTGGTGACCGACTATCGCCTGGCAGCTATAGGCCTATAAGCCTCACTAGCGTGCCGTGCAA